AAACGTCAGCTTTCCTGCTCCTCTGATGCTGCTTGGCCTGTTGTGTTCATCCACCTCTACACCTTGTTATCTCAAATGAAGCCATATGTGTCAAACCTAAAAGCCAAAAAAAAAACCACTCACATAGCTGGGGGTGTACTCTAGGCCCCCTAACAGTCAGAGGGGAATAGAAGAACAGACAGGAGGCAAATTTCAGGGATGATTAAATGTAATAGGGTACTGATAGTAGAGGATTTCAACTTCCCCAAAATCAACTGGGCTAGTCATAGGGCAAAGTTTTAGAGGGAGCATAATTCTTAAAATGCATCTTGAGAGTTTTTAAAGCTATACACGAGGTCCTATAAGAGAGGGGGTGGTTCTAGACGTAATTTTAGGTAATAAAGTTGGACAAGTGGTTGAACGATCAGTGAGGGTCAATGGTAGTTAGCAGTAGATTCAAGATTGTGATGGAAGGGAGCAAGGATAGGCCTGAAATCAAAGCTGTAAATTTTTAATAAAATCAATTTTAATAAAATCCAATATGATTTGGATTGGGATCAGATTGTTTTAGGTATATCGGTGTCAGAACAGTGAGACATGTTCCACAGTGGGATGAAGGCAATAAGGAAAGTACAGGGCCAACATGTTTCAAATAAAGTTAAAGGAAGGAACCAACAAATCCAGCTTACCCTGGATGTTAAGGAATATTCAGAACTGAATAAAGGGAAAAAAGGAAGCTTACGGCAGATACTGATGGCTCAAAACAGCAGAAGCCCGAGAAAGAGTATAGAATGTGCAAGTGAAAATGTAAAAAGACAATTCAGAGAGCAAAAAGGGGCCATGAAAGGATAATGACAGGTAAAATAAAGGAAAATTGAGGGTAAAAGGATAACGAGGGAAAGAGTAGGGCCCATTAAGGACTATAGCAGTAATTTGTGCATGGAGCCAGAAGATGTAGGTTGGTTTCTAAATAAATACTTTGTGCTGGTGTTCACTAGAGAGAGGGTCAATCTGAGTATAGAAATCATTGGGAAGGACTGCGACATAATTTTTAAAATTAGCATTGTTTGAGAAGAGGTTTTGAGTGGCCTGGCAGGTTTAAAAGGAGATAAATCACCAAGGCCAGATGAAATGGATCCCAGGCTATTGAGAGATACAAGGGAGGAAATAGCAGGAGTACTAGCAAAAAATTTCAATTCCTCTCTGGCCACAAGAGAGGTCCAGAGGATTGGAGGACAGCCAATGTGATTTTGTTATTCAAGCAGAGAGGAAGAGATAAACCAGGAAACTATGCGCCAGTTAGTCTACCTTAATAGTGGGGCACCTACTGGAAGTAATTCTGAGGGACCGAATTAGTCTGCAGTGTGATGTGCAAAACAAGGACTTTTGTTTTCCCAATATTTATTTTAGGGATATTGCTGTTTATCCAGGACTGAATGTTGATTAAACAGTCTGATAGTTTAGCAGTAGTGATGGTAAGGTACAACGGAGTGTCTTCATGTAAAAAAACTAACATTGCGCTTTCAAATGTTATTACCAAGGGACAGTTAGGAGGAGATGAGAAATAGAAGAGGGCTAGGACAGGTTCTTGGGGGCAGAAAAGGTAATGATATTTGAGTAGAAGCCATTGTAAGTGATTTTGTGGCTGTAACGATGTAGATAAAAAAAATTGAAACCAGGTAAGAGCAGTCCCAACCAGGTGGGCAACACAGAAGCTTTGGAGGAGAATAAGATGGTTAACAGTGTGAAAGGCTGCAGTGAGATCAAAAAGGATAAGGAAGGATAGTTTATCTCTGCCGCATTAAAATCACTAAAACATCCTCTTGGAGCTTTTACATCGTCAATGTAGGCACCAAAGCAGTACAAAGCTTCTTTCAAGGACTTAAACATGGACAGCCAGGAAAATTGGGCAGTCAACTTCGGAGGTGAAAACACATTCAAGGACTCTGAAGGGGTAAAGGATGTTTAAGATGAGATCATACTTTGCAATGACAGTAAGGTCAAGGTTTTTTTTTTGAGGATGGAAATCACAATGGCAGATTTAAAGGCGAGAATGGCATCACCTGAAAAGATAAAATAACACTATTGGCTAATAATAAGGACCAGGAAGGGGCCAATGGGTAATAGCAGCTTAGCAGAAACAGCAGACAGGTCTTGTGGATAAAGATGAGCTCACAGGGAGACAGAAAAAAACATGTGAAAGATGCAACTTCAGGCTAGGGCAGTGAAAAACTAACAAGAATCTTTGTTCAGAGGAACTAGTGAGAGGGTTACATCAGCGCAGATGTTGCATTCCCAGGATCAAAACTGTCCACGGGTTTCTCAGTTTTTAACGGGAGGTGATGGTGCAACACACAGAGGAGATTAATTGAAGAAGATGGTTCGCTGGAGGCAAAAGAAACAGAGCAATGTCTTGGCATTTCAGAATGTTCCTGGAATCACGAGAAATTTTAGCACAGAAGAGCAGGACCCAACAATAATGAATGCAATCTACCAAATTTGGTGGTAAATTGTCGAACTAGCTGTCTGTCATATCCTTTTAAGTCTGTGTCCCTCACACTTAAGGGAGAATGGCCAGGGTGAGAGAGACAAATAGTTGTACAGGTAAAACTCCAAAGTGTTGGTGAAAGTGTGATCGGGCAGATCAATAGCTGCAGAAATACTGTGGCACCCAAGGGCCAAGGCTAAATTGTTTTTAAAATGCAATTGTAAATGAAATAAACAATGAAGCTGGATTTCAACATTAGGAATTTAAACTGTGGAGAATGAATAAATTAGATGAAAATGTATTTGTTTATCTCAACCACTATCAAGAAATTGATGAATAAATTGGGAACAAAGGGGGCAACAGATAATAGAGGATTCTGATGATTAGTGATAGGAAAATCTGAAATATGCATGGAAGAATGTCTCAGTTTATTTTTCTTGGTTTCTACTTTACATTAAATAAATAATAGCTCTGTAATTGGTAATAATAACAAAGTAGTAATCCAATCAAATGTAAGGTCACAAATATCACAATCCAGAGATGTGTAAAAGATCACTAAACTAGTTGATTCGAAAATATCAATAAAACACATTCGCAAATTAATACAATGGAAAAATAGCAAAAAAAAAGTGTATGGCTGTCAAAAATCAATCAAATTATGCCCTGGGAATACAGCATAAACTATTACAAGTGAAGAAAAATATAAAATTAAGCAAAGATTCAAAAAAACATGTCAACTAGAAAAGAGTGGCAAAAAATGAATCTGGCTTGCTGGTTATTAAAAGTGCAGTCCTTGAAAAGGCTTTGCCCTCCTGTTAGTTTCTGTAGGATCCATATTTCAGCAAATCAATATGGCTGAGCTGCACAAATAGATAATGTGAAAAACATGACAAGTTCTTTACTCACAATTAAATTATTCCCAGGTCAGTTACATTGTGCGACTTCCACATCTAAATATACAACATGCTACAGTGAAGAGTTTTCAACATTTGGAATCAAAACCAGAAATGCACATTTGACTAACATCAGTTTTCTTTTTCCATAACAGAAACATTTCTAAATAAACATGCAATGAGTCACTGCACATACAATAAAAGTCACACACACACACATTACCGTTTAGTTGAGTTAGCCATCATTCCAATTGTAGAGCATTTAAACTCATTAATCAGATTACTCATTTATTATTGCCAGACATATATCCGTTATTCTTTATCTAAATAAGAGTACAGACTTGCACTAATCGACAAATATGCTTTGCAGGTTGGAAACATAACAGCCTTTAGCAATTCTAATTATCTCAAATACTTACATGAATTGTTGGATTATTCTGATTGGAACGAGATCTTCGCCTTGATGTGATGCCTATGTTTTCACCTTTCAGCAGAGAATGAACAACATCATCCAAAAATGTCATTTGTACCATAGAAGGATCAACATTCTGTGGTTCTAGCACCTGGTTTGTTCACAAAAACAGGACATCATTTATAATAAGTAGCAGAAAAATTTACTTGCTGCACTTAAATGAGAATACTACATGCAAAATATTGCACTAATGTTATTCAGAAAATGACCTAATTCCACATCCTGGGCTGCTATCAGGTAACCCATGTTAAAATGTGCATGTGTGGGCAATGTTCTGCATGATGATGAAGACCCTGTCGACATTTACTATTGAAGTTCAGATGTGACAACTATCCAATTCAGCAAAGTAATTCAACTTTCTTGCACTAATGAGTCTTAATTGTAATGTGGGTCATCACCTTCCACAAGATGGAAAATAGAGTACACATTTATAATCTATAGTTGCTTACATAAAGGGGTGATAATTTAAATTAAAACATGCACATTTTCCATATTTAATTTTTTTCTAATTGCAGAACATCCAGATTAACAAATGTATACAAGCAGTGGCAACTCTCCAAATCCATTTACCTGGTCGTTCATAACGATCATAGTGCGACTTAAAAGATCGTGGTAAGTAATGATACCAGTGAACCACTGGGTGGCAGAATCTTGCCTGTACACTCGTACTCTATAGCCGTTCAATGAATAGGGACCTGAAAAGAGCAACAAAGGACCAATTGGTCACTGTGAAGGTATGAGGGATGGAACTGAAAATAAATTTTATATCAGTTGCTAAAGGTCGAATGGTCAACCTCAAAATAAATGATGCCAAGCCGAATACATATCTCAGAGATTTGCATTAAAATGAATTAAAAATAAGCAGATTCATTTTTCATGTAATAATACAATTGCATTAGAAGATAAAAGCAAAATGATACCTTGCATAAAAATCTCCTGAACTTTTTGTTCTTTAACCCAAGCTTTCACCTCTTCATGAAGTGGAGGGTTGTCCCTGAGAACTGGGCTCAGGCTGTCTACGTCGTCCTTTTTAAAAAAAAAGTGAAACGTGTTTTGGTTATTTTGTCAGAGATAGTAGGAACTGCAGATGCTGGAGAATCCGAGACAACAAGGTGCAGGGCTGGATGAACACAGCAGGCCAAGCAGCATCATAGGAGCAGAGAGGCTGACGTTTCGGGCCTAGACCCTTCATCAGAAAAGGCTTTTCTGATGAAGG